CATACATACATACATACACCCTAAACCTAAACCTAAACCCTAAACCCTAAACCTTACATAGATACATTACAGACCGACCGGTCGGCCGACGGCCGGCAGAAGACGGCCTGACAAACGAACGGAGGCGGACAGCCAGGCGCAGACAGACAAACGACATAACGTAGGTACCCATAGTGGCTGAGGTTTCCAGTCATTCGGTTTAGGGTTCAGGATTTAGGGTTTAGGGTTTAGTATACATGTAGGGTTTAAGGCTTTAGGGCCCAATCCTTAACCTAAAACCATATCCAGAGTCCCAAATCTTATAGACTACATCCTTAAACCTTTAACTCTCAAGCCTGAAGCCCTGAAATCCTTAACCCTAAAGCCCTGAGATCTCCTTAACCCTAAAGCGCTGACATCCTGGACCCCTCAAACCCGAAGTCGTGACGGAACCCTTTCCCTAAACCCTATAAACCCTTAATCCTAAACCCTTACCCCTAAACCCTTAATCCTAAACCCTAAAGCCTACACCCTATGAATGCTAGACCCTTAACCCTAAACCCTACACCCTATGAATCCTAAACCCTTAAGGCTACACCCTATGAATCCTAGACCCTTAACCCTAAATCCTAAACCCATCACCTTTACACCCTGAACGAGACTCAAATCTCCTGCTGCAACACTCGTGGTCGCAGCATCTGAGCCCCTCGGCCTTTGTCAAACTAGAGGCAGGGGCTAAGGATTTAGGATGTATAGGGTTTAGGATAAGTTCAGGATTTAGGATGCAGACTTAGGTTTTAGCATAAGTTTAGGATTTTTGCCGCAGAATTAGGGCGTAGGATATGTTTAGGATTCCGGATGCAGACTTCGATTTTTGCATAAGTTTAGGAATTGGGATGTAGAATAACGGTTTAGGACAAGTTTAGGATTTAGGATGTAGACTTAGGGTTTCGGATAAGGTTATGACTCAAAATATGCTCTCATAATTCCGTGTTCGGGGATACGCCGGCTTCATCTTTGGAGTTTCCTTAAGGCTGTGAATAAGTTTAAGGTTTACCTCGGCCGCAGAAAATCGGCGTTTTGATCGCTTATTACAACTTCCTTCTATAGCTCTTCAATTAGAGAGGAAGGTTTTTTGGTGGCTCAGATAAGTCCAGGCAGGGTTTACGGCGTGGTACTTCCTTTTGTTTGCTGACCTTGCATTGCTTGCGGCCGGGAACCCATTGACTAGTTTAGGACCCCAGAGTTAAAGCAACTTAGGGAAACTATCACCTGCACTACAATCCAGAGTCTAGTTACAGGACCCAGCGTGTCAAGAGTGCGTGGCCAACGCCGATGTCCGAAAAATGGCATCTTGTCTTGGCCGGGATACCCTCCCTTCTCCAAACAGGTCGTGTGACGGCCTTGGCATCCGCATCATTGAAGAAGCCCATGCCATCCCCCGGCCCTGACATCCACGAACAGGGGTTGCATGCTGCTAGAAAGCATCATACGAGGCAAAGCCCATCGGGCGGCGCGGATAGGCCACCAAGCTCCCATTGCCATGGCCACATCGTTTGAAGGATCTCACGCCTCCGCGGCGCTGGGAAAGTGCGAGGCAGCAAAATACTCATGGCTGCACCTCAAATTCAGCCCTCACTTGAAGGATAAGAAGACTCTTGAGTGCGCACATACGGAAGTATCATCGGCAACAGAAGCACCCACCAAGAAGTTCACTTCGGGCTTGATGGAGCGGCCTGGAACACCGAGAATCCACGAGGTGACATTTGACAGGGAGGTCTGGCCTCTTGGATTTGGTGCGCGCACCTTTAGAAAGTCTAGAGTACTTCATTGACAAGCAAGACTTGAATATTTTTCGCATCCCATCACGTCAAATCGTGAAACATGCACCCTTCTTGACTATACCATACAGCCAGCCCCAACCCTTGAAATCCAAACCGCCAAAGCCCCAATTCCTTTGCTGCTCTCGTTATTCTTACTGTTCTTGGTACTACTCCCTGTCTTCTAAGTATTCCTATGACTAAACCTCGGATTAGTGCTCTGAAAACTACTGTTTGCATTATTGCTGGGATTTCTGCTATTCTTTCGATGATTTCAGCATAGTTATCACTACCACATAGTATCATAACCCTAAACCCTAAACCC